TCGAGCACGGCCAGCCACTGTAAGAAAGAGACGCAAACAAATTAACATTTTCTGTGATCAGTTTGTCATGTTCAGTTCAGACGGTTTTCCAACACTCACCAGCCTCTCGCTTCTTTGCCTTGACTTTGGGCTCGATGTCGACCAGCAGCGTGTCCAGAGGAAGACTGTCGGGCAGGATGAAGTAGCGGATGTTGTTGCCACGGATACTGAGAGACTCCAGCTGAGTGGGCTCTCTGTTTTTGAGGGTCATCTTCACAGCTTTGACGTGAGTGTTCATACTGACATCCACACCTGTTCACAGAATTCAAAGAGAAACATTCAGCCATCTGTCAATTCAAGAATCACTCTTTAAAGGATGTTCACTGCCAGAATTTAAATTTCCTCATCATTTATTCACCCCCATGTCATCCAAGATGTTCATGTCTTTGTCTTCAGTCGCAAAGAAATTAACATTTTTGAGGAAAACATTACAGGATTTTTCTCCATATAATGGACTTCATTGGGGACCAACGGGTTGCAAATTGCATTTTCAGTGCAGCTTCAAAGTGCTCTACACTATCTTAGCTGAGGAATAAGGGTCTTATCTAGCGAAACAATGTCATTTTCAAAATAAAAAATGTATATACTAGGGACGGGAAGATTCCTCGATTCGCTCGGTGCATCGGCATTAAAAGTTAACGATGCGATGCATCGGTTTAAAAAGTGTGCATTGGATACAAGTTGGCATTTGTATCGCGATGCATCGTTTCTAACATAGTTGCATCGGTAAAAAACGATTTATTTATATATAATTACTAGTGGATGCGTGTTAGAGGAACTCAGCTTAGTCTGACAGTTAACCTGATTTAGTTTCCCAGCATAAGTTGCCACGGTGACTAGCTTGATAGGCCTATGTTAAATTTGCTTTATGGAACCAAATCATTTGACAATTAGTCAGACTAACTGAAATAAGCCCTATGAAACAGGCCTTGAGGCATTAGAAGTGATCATATTTTTTCCATTGCGTAGAATCACATTGTGTTGAATCGAATCGTATCGCATCGGTAGCTGCTTCATATGTATCTTTAATGTATCGTATCATTGGCTATGCATCGAGATGCGTATCGTATCGGCCTGAGTCATGAGATGCACATCCCTAGTATATACACGTCTTGCACTAGCTCGACTTCACACATTACATAATCAAGTTGGATAGGTCACACACGGTTAGCTCTTCGTCTGTGTACTCCGATTCAAAAAGTTAGGGTAGGTTTAAAAACTCCATCTCATTTTCTCCTCCAACTTCAAAATCGCCCGACATCGTTGTTTTACCTTTTTTTGTAAAGCGCGTTTGACTTTCTTTGCACGTTCGCGTTGTAAACACTGGGTCGGTTCTTCCGCCTACGTCACGCGTGACCTTTCCAACGTGATTACGTAATGGGTGAAGTTGAGCTAGTGCTAGACGAGCATTTATGGTTGAAGTGTATACATTTTTAGTTTAAGAAAATGACAGATCGTTTTACTAGATAAGACTCATTCCTCGGCTGGGATCGTGTAGAGCCCTTTGGAGCTGCACTGAAACTGCAATTTGGACCTTCAACCCATTGGTCCCCATTGAAGACCATTATATGGAGAAAAATCCTGGAATGTTTTCCTTGAAAACCTTCATTTTTTTGCGACTGAAGAAAGACAGACATGAACATCTGGGATGACATGGGGGTGAGAAATTATCAGGAAATTTTTATTCTGGAAGTGAACTAATCCTTTAACGTAAACTTGACGCAGATACTTTGACACCAGTGTAAAAGTTCCTATTTTGTTGCATTATTTTGAATCATAATTACCTGTAATGGTGCCATGGACCTGTGTGCCATTCTTCAGCTCAATGGTGACAGTTTCATGGCTCAATTTCATCAAAAACCTGTGGGATCACAATCAAAAACATTGACTTTTACATTAACAACCTTACAGCAGCACAAATATCGCATTTTGCCAAACCCATTACATAATGACACCGTCTTCAGTTTTATGTAGGAATTCGACAGCTAGAAATATGAAATTGTACTTTAAACCTCTTAATTTCGTCTTAATTGTATAATATTTCCCTAGTAACATAAATACACGGATTGCATTTGTAGTAACAAGCAAACAGAAAGTTACTAGCATTAAAAGTGGTCGTTTCTATTGCTGCATTTGTTAGATTGAAGGCCTGGCATCTATTAACTTAAATGTACAATTTCATCAATCTAAGACTAAACCCACGAATTACATGTTTAAAACACAAATACGTTTAAAACAAGAAAAACCCAAACAATCTCATCCTGGTTCATTCATTCCCGCCTGCTGCAGCTAACGGCTAACAAACAGCTACACACAATCTAACTCCATCCGTCAGATTACATCACGTGTCACTGCGGAGAATCGGTGCATATTAATAATATAATACATATAGAGGGTTATTACCTGACGAGTTTCATGCTGGCGGTGGATTTTGAGAGTAAATCCTCCACCGAAATCAGAAAATATTGTAGCGAAAAGCGTCGGATGCTACTTGATCTTTGAGGGGAGGGGAATCGCTCCTTCTTCTTCTTCTGGTGTTAATGGCGGTTGGCAAACCAACTTAAATGGTGCATTCCCGCCACCTACTGGATAGGAGTGTGGAGCGCATAATGATTGGATGTTTGAGACCTATAGCCAGGTTTGCACAGAAACAGCTAAGGGCAGTGTTGGGGAAAGTTACTTTTAAAAGTAATGCATTACAATATTGCGGTACTCCATAAAAAAGTAACTAATGACGTTACGTTACTTTTGCGTTACTTTTAAAATATGGACAGGGCTTGCTTGTTTGTTTTTAAAATAAAAAAGTTCTATTTTTGGCAAATATAAAAGCCCTTTCACACCAAAAGTTAAATGAATACGCCTCAGGCTGAAGGGAAAGTAAATTTACGTCTGTACAGTTGAATGCAGAAGAAGAAATATCAACACACTTCAGCAATAAAAAAAGGACACAAATGTTTGTCTAGAGTATAACTAGAAAAAAAAAAGAAAAAAAAGAATTGGGGAATCACTTCCTGTGCGAAACGGAAGCAGAATCCGTGACGATCCGTGGCCACTACACGCCAAAATCACCGGAATATTTCACACAGTGGAAGATACATTTAAAATATTTAATTAATGTATCTTAAATAGTAAATACACTTTTAGGTAAATAAAAGTAAAAAGTTTAGGATCATATTATTATATATCTTTGATTATGATAATACCTTTAAAAGTCTTTATATCCAGACTATTGATCTCCAAAGACGTGTAAATGTAAATATGTTTTAAAATTTTTTTTTGTTCGATCCGTATCTTTTTTATTGTTGAAATGATGATTCTTTACAATAAATTTTAACAATTAAGTCCACATTCACAAGAAAGAAGAGCAATCTTAATCTGTAAAACAGCATTAAAGAGAAGAGAGATTAAATAAATAATTACAATAATAATTGTAATAAATAATAATAAATTATATATTAAATTATATTATATAAAAATTATATTATAAATGTGTTTTTAAAGGTTTAAAAAACTTGCAGTTATTTTTATTTGGCCAAAACAGCAATTTTATTTTATTTTTTTGGTTCGATCAGTATCTTTTTTTTTTTTTAATTGTTGAAATGATGATTCATTACAATACATTTTAACAATTAAGTCCACATACACAAGAAAGAAGAGCAATCTTAATCTGTAAAACAGCATTTAAGAAAAGAGAGAGAGAGACAGAGAGAGATAAATACAATAAAGTAATAATAATAATAATAAAAACACACACATAAAAACAACTAAACAATAGTTCAAATTATCTTCCTCCTTCCGTAGGACAAAATCAAGGACTACAGTGAGGGAACTATACAATAAAAAAATCCTCCATGAAATCTAACAGTATGTCATTCTTTTAGTTATTAATTTGCATTAGAGGCTCTTTCAGATATTCCATTTCTAATAAAAATAAATTACATTTTGGTATGCATTACATTACAAGAATACATTGATATTAATTACTATGGTTAAATTCAGATATATACAGATGCATCAGAGTGGGGGAAAGGGTCAGTGAAGAACTGTCAGTATATTCAGGGGAAATGTTGGTTAGCTTTACGGTGGATAGAAGATACAAGGCCACTAAGAGCAATCATTTGTTCAGAGTCAAGCTCATCGTTAACCAGTTTACTGTGTAATTCAACCAGCAGACCAGATATTTTAATAGAGATGAGAGAAACACTACAAAGAATTATGGGGCTTATGGTGGGTTTTTTATGGATCCCAACACACAACAGAATTCAAGGAAATGAAATAGCTGATAAAATAGCAAAGGAAGTTACTAAAAGTATTCATATTGATTTTACAGTTAATATCAGCAAGGCAGAAATCAAGAGCATCATTAATAAGAGATTGGAGGAAAGGTGGCAAAGTCAATGGGAAAAAAAACAAGAAAAGGGCAATGGTTTCATAGGATTCAAAGGAAAGTGGGAGAAATGAGGTGTACAGTGAGGAATAGGGGAGACGAAATAATAACATCGAGGCTTAGGTTTGGACACAAGATAGGTAAACATAACACAGGGAAATGTGATTTCTGGGGGCAGGAAGAGACAGTAGAACATGTTATGATATATTGTCAGAAATATGAAACAGAAAGAAGACATGATTCAAAAATTGGGAGAGATGAAAATATGATTTGATTTAATAGATATTTTGCGGAAAGAGTCAAAAGACAAGTGTGATAATCTATTGTTTCAATATAGAGAAACTAATTTAAGTGGAAGAATATCGTTTTTTTAATGTTTTTTTTTTTTAAAGGGGTCATATGATGCGATTTCAATTTCTCCTTTCTCTTTGGAGTGTTACAAGCTCTTGGTGCATAAAGAAGATCTGTAAAGTTGCAAAGACTAAATGTATATGTATATGACATCCTGGTCCACACTCCATACCAGGTGGTGGCGGTAATGCACCAATAAGTTGTTTGCCAACCGCGAATAAACCCAAGAAGAAGAAGAAGGAGGCGGAAGTGAAACCCGGAAGTAAGCGCTCATTGAAGCGTCGCGTCGAAAGCGAATCGAGTGATAAATGAAAGAGATTAAACACGCTCGCTTCATCATGAGGAGCCATCGGTGACTTTATACGCGATATCTGAGGATGCTGGAGTCTAACGCGGATGAGATATCAGAGTAGCAGTCTGGAGAGGTTATGAACGATGCTGATGTGTGGATTCGGAGTGTCTGTGCATCAGGACTGATCGACAGCTGATCTCAGCTTTATTTTCTGCATCGAGCGTCCGAACAGCATGTTGATGAGCGGCTTTTGCTCATGTGTGTCCTCTGAAGCGGCGTGCTGGGATTGACGCAGTCAGGATGTTTCCTAAAACCTCGCTGACGGCTCTGATCGTGGGGCTCTTCCTCCTCTACGTGCTGCACACATGCTGGGTCATGTACGGGATCGTGTACACCAAACCCTGCGAAAAACCCAAAAGTGACAGCTGTATCTCACCCTACCTGGCCGGAAAACCTCGACTGCAGGTGAGTAAACCATGTGCTGTCACATGTGAACATTTACCTTCAGACTTTTATTTTCAGACAATGCATGTAAACACGCAGGTTTTTATAGAGCGACATATTGGTGCATACTAAGATGTGGACTATTAATACATTTTGGTACATTAGCACAATGGAAGGGGCCCCAATTCTACAATTTAAAAGGCATCTGTATAGTTTCTTGTGTAAAGACCAGATTTATACTGTGAAACATTTTAGTTTCTAATTTAATTATTAATTGTTTTTTCCTACTCATTATAGCACTGTACTATATATTTATTTACTTATGACATTTCCTATTCATTATTCATAATATGTTCATATATTCATATATTTATATACATTTTAATAAAATTTTATTTGTTGAACTATTTATTTTAATCAAATTTGTATTTACATTGATCTATTTATGTATGTCAATGTATTTTATTTATTGATATATTTTATCCTACTGTTTTATTTATTCATCTATTTATTTTTAATCTAATTCATATTTATATATTTTAATCTAATCTTATTTTACATTTTTTGTTCTATATATTTGTGTATTTAAATCTAATTTTTTATTTATTTTTATCTATTTATGTTAATACGAAGTTTATCTATTTATTTATATTTATATACATTTTATTTATATATCTAATTCATATATATTTTAATCTAATCTTATTTTACATTTTTTGTTCTATATATTTGTGTATTTAAATCTAATTTTTTATTTATTTTTATCTATTTATGTTAATACCAAGTTTATCTATTTATTTATATTTATATACATTTTATTTATATATCTAATTTTTATTTATTCATCTTTTTATTTATTTATTTAAATATTTTTCAAATTTGTTTATTTTGATCTATTTATTTATTTTAATCTAATTTTATATGTTTTAATCTAATTTATTTTAATTCTATTTTTAATTTAATTTAATTATATTTTTTTATATTATTTTATTTTTACACTGCTTTTCTTTAAACATTTCCACATTTCACCTGCATTAGCAGACATTTGTTCAATTTATTTATTTGAATGGCAAATAATCAACATTATACAATACAAAATACATTCCAGTAAAAATAAGAATATATAATAATAAATGCAACAACAGAGATAATTTGGACGTGTGTTTAACAGCTCAGCGTCTACACTGCATTAAGACCCAATGCTGATGGTGGACACAGTCTGATCCACAGAGAGGAAGAGTTTGATGTCAACACCAGGTTTGAGAGGTAAAAGAGAAATCATTTAATAGACGGAACTAACATTATATCACAGTTACTCTGTATTTCCGTCATGTAGGGCTTCATTTGTGTCCATTATAAGCAACTATCACATACCAGATTTGCGCTGTCACATCTTTTCAAGGTTAGTTAATGTGTCTTTGCCGAAAAAGACCCGCAAAAATGGGACGCTGTACGCCATGGTGTTCCTGCATCAGGCAGGAGTCTCGCCGTGGCAGGATCCGCATCAGGTGCATTTAGTCACGCAACTGACCACATACATGCTGCCCAAACCTCCAGAGATCAGCCTGATCACGGGGCAGGACGAGCCGCAGGTGAGCTGACTCCCACGTCTTGCATCTGAACAAGTTTTGTTTCCATGTTCCTGTTTACATTACACAAACCAATCTGATTTGTACTCAGAAACCGGATCAGCAGAAGCAGAGTAGCGACTCTGAGCTGGACCGGCCCGTTTCTCACTGGCGTTCCCGTCTGACGGTGAACGTGGTGTCCGAGAACTTCCAGTTTGATCGAGAGGCCCTTCCTGGAGACGTGCACCGCTACATGAGAGTGTGAGTCCATCAGGTTCATTCATATTACACCTGACCTCTGCAATGACCTTTAGTCAATTAAAGGAGACATATTATGCCCCTTTTTACAATATGTAATATAAGTCTCTGGTGTCCCCAGAATGTGTCTGTGAAGTTTCAGCTCAAAATACTTCACAGATCATTTATTATATCATTTTGAAAATGCCTATTTTGAGTGGAAGCAGAAACACGTTGTTTTTCGTGCCTGTCTCTTTAAATGCAAATGAGCTGCTGCTCCCCGCCCCCTTTTCCAGAATAGAGCTGCGCCTTTACAGCTCGGACCTGCTAAAAACATCTGTTTTGGTTCCGATTATCATGTTTATCGCGCTGAAATCATGAGTTTTAAACCAGATGAGTTAAAATTTCTGATATATGGTTTTCTGAGCGCACACATCCGAAGCACACGGACAGAAAGCTGCTGTCACAGCATGTGAGTACTAAACTAAGTTCTCATTCACACAAAAGTTTACGTTAAAAACACACATGAGTTACAAAAACAGTCGGTTACTAAACAGTGTTCTGTGCTCGTCAGTGCAGCCAAAGACAGAACAGTTAGCATGTTTTCCTCAAACTTTCACCATGGCATTAGAACTGGTACATCGTTGTCGCTTGCGAAATCAAATGACGGCTCCGTGGGTGGAAACATGCAGATTAAGGGGCGGTAATATTATAATGAGATCCCTTTGCCACCAAGGGAGCGAAATCAGACGTGCTCGTTTTCTCAGACGCTTGCAGAAAAAGGCTTACCAAAACAAAGTTACTGGGTTCATCTTTTTCACGTTTCCTTGGTTGGTAGATGCACCGGGGACCTGATTATAGCACTTAAAACCTGGAAAAGTTAGATTTTCATGATATGTCACCTTTAAGGGATAAAGCAATAAATCCATGAGATAATTGCTGTGTCTTACAGTGACTTACCACATTGACTAACGCATGTGAAATGATTCCAACAGTGCTATAAGTTCTATATCATCCTACATGCCTCTCTAATTCTCCTTTCCATTCCTGTCCTGCAGATATCAGAGCGGGAAGAAGATGATTTACCTGCCGCTGCTGTTTGTAGATGAGCTGAGCAACCGAGTGAAGGATTTAATGGTACTGCTCCTCTGATTCTCTACATTCGAGCGGTTTTCTTGCAGCTAGCTGTAGTGAACATGCACATCGAGTGTTAATGTGTCTGATCTGCAGGAAATCAACCGCAGCAGCACTGAGCTGCCTCTGACCATCTCATACGACTCCATCGCTCTGGGGAAACTGCGCTTCTGGATCCATATGCAGGACGCCGTTTATTCACTTCAGCAGTTTGGTAAGAATCTGCAGACTCCTGGGGAATTAAAGTGAATTTGTCAAGGTTAAATGGCTTTAAATGTTGTTTTTTTTCTAATTTTTTTATAAGGTTATCAACACGTATTTTATACAATATATAATCAAAATGTAAAAATTAAATATGAAAGGAATTCAACCATTAATAATTAACAGCAATATCAAATGTGTTTAATTAAATATATTAATAATTATTTAGATAAATTATATGTCCATCAAGTAATGTAGTTCATTCAATTAACAGTTTTGGATTGCTGTTAAAGAATTAATTTATATAAAATAATTGCATATGATTATATAATAATAATAATAATAATAAAGTTGTTGATGATGATATATTTAGTTAAAGGGGTCATATGATGCTTTTTTAAAGATCATTATTTTGTGTATTTGGTGTAACAGAATATGTTGACATGCTTTAATGTTCAAAAAACACATTATTTTTAAAATACTGTACATTATTGTAGGTCCTCTATGCCCCGCCTCTCTCAAACTCATAATATCATTAGGATTGCTATTGTAATCTAAAACTAAAACCATAAAAAACTTTTTTTAATAAAAATAAATGTTAACTAAAATAAAATATTAAAAAAAACAAATATATTTATTTCAGCTAGTTTTTTGTATAACTTGAAGTGCTAAAATAATTCAAACTAAAACTGAAGAAAAAAAAATATATATATAAACAATAAGTGTAATACTGCTTTAAATTGTTGTTGTTTTTACCCCAAAAAATTAAAAAAGTTTTCTGTTAAATTTAATTGCAATTTTGTTTTTGTTTTTCCGAGCAAAAAATAAATATCATACATTTTCCCCTGATTTACAGAAGAGACCCACTAAAATGTCATTCAGTGTAACAGTCTTGTCAGGCATATTTACAACAAAAATCAATTTATGACATATTAAAAGACTAATTACTTTCACCCCAAATACTAATTAGTTGTAATTTTACATTTCTAAAATGTGCCACTATCCTAGGTTTTGCCCATTTGTCAGTAAGAATTTTTTACTAATTTAAAACACAATAAAATTTAATACGCCCCTTTATTCTTTTATATATTTTAATATGTACAAGCCAGAATAAGCATGTTGTTTGAATTTTTACTTAAATATTGTATTACACTGAATGACAATGTAACATTATTTCAAACAAATTGACATTTTATCCTCCAAAAATTTATTTGAAACCTTAAAAGTAGACACTCAAATTAAAAATGCAAACAAATTCAAAATATATTTAAAATAACATGTCAATAATACTAAAATATCACTGATTATAGTTTATAAAAAATAATGATGATACTGAGTGGACCCTACTTTCAGTGTTATTCGACTGTTTTCTTGTGAAATTTAAATTTAGGTGGTTTATAAATATAAATGATAGAAAATACAAATTTGTGTGTCAGATATGTATATTTAATGAATCTATTTTATGATATATGTTCATATTTAAGTATATACCGTTTCAAATATAGCGTCATAATTTATCTGATAGTAGTTACAGTACATTTTTATTCATAAATGTGGAAAATAATTCGATACGGTTGCATCACTTATAATAATATGAGCCAGATCATTCAGCAACATGTGTTTGCATGTATCACAGATGATTGGATGTGGGTTGATGTGAGGTGTTTGTGTGTGTGTCTCAGTGCTGTGGAGGTGTTTCAGCACCATTGTGATCTTCCTGTATCTGCTGGATGAGCAGACCAGTCTGCTGGTTCTACTTCCTGCTGGGATCGGCTCTTTGATCGAGGTACCGCAAGATTTCACTCGTGCTTTTTTGTTCGTTGTTGTTCCTGCTGCAGATTTATTTGGATCAAGTGGACAGAATGAACATAAATCTTTATTCTTTTTTTGTGGTTTATTTATATTTATGCATGTGTATTTTATTCACATCTTATTTTTATTATCAGTGTGTTGTTGTTGTCTCTGTGTACTGGAAGCTTGTGACACTAAACCAAATTCCTTGTACAGGTGCATCTCAATAAATTAGAATGTCGTGGAAAAGTTAATTTATTTCAGTAATTCAACTCAAATTGTGAAACTCGTGTATTAAATCAATTCAATGCACACAGACTGAAGTAGTAAGCTCTTTCTGAAACTCACTGCTTTGGTCTTTGTATAATATTGATGTTTTTGCTCTTGTTTTTCAGGTGTGGAAAGTGAAGAAGGCTTTTAAAATACACGTCGTATGGAGGGGCTTGACTCCCACGTTCCTGGTAAACTTTTGTGGTTTTTCTTTCGTGATTTTGTTACTAATAGTTAAAAGGGATTATTCTTTAACTCTGAATTGTTTGGGGAACAGTTTGGGAAGCTTGATGAATCTGAGAAACGAACCGAGGAATATGACACGCTGGTGAGTTAAAGCTTCATCCGAACCGCAGTCTTCTGATTATGTTTTGATATCTGAAGTTTGATTTGAATGTTGTTCCTCTGAGCAGGCGATGAAGTATCTGTCCTATCTGCTGTATCCTCTGTGTCTCGCCGGGGCGGTTTACTCTCTTGTGTTTGTCAAGTACAAAAGGTGAAGAGTCCTGAATATATTCATGGCTAAAACAGAGTATAAAACACTTTTTTTTTTTTTTTTACTGTTATCTAAAGTGCACAGCTGATGAATATGTATTGTGTTTGAACAGCTGGTACTCCTGGATTATTAACAGTTTAGTCAATGGTAAGTTTCATTTTGTAGCTCTGTCTGACTGATTGATTCATTTAGAAACATTCATGATGGAAATGTAATTGATGGTTGTTGTTCTCGGTCAGGGGTGTACGCCTTTGGATTCCTCTTTATGCTGCCTCAACTCTTTGTAAATTACAAGGTTTGTTCGGTCTCAATATCTCTTGCTTTCAGAATAATGAAATGATGTTTGATTTAATAATCAATGCATTTGTTTTAACAGCTGAAATCCGTCGCTCATCTGCCCTGGAAAGCCTTTATGTACAAGGTGAGAGACGATACTACAGTCGGGAAGCTCTCTGATGCTGTTTGCATTGTTAATGCATGATGTATACAGAGACAGTATTTGTTTTGACAGATAATACTGCTTTTAAAGTATCGACATGGCTCTGAATTGGAGAAAAAAATTGTATATAAAATATTTTCAAATATTGTATTTTATAAATAAATTTTTTTAACAATTCTCCATATTTTTTATTTTGCATTATGCATTATTTTGAATATATATATATATATATTTTATTTTTATTAAAACAACATAAATCTAACAAATTAATAAAATAATATATCACATTAGTTGTCAGACCCAATAAATTATATATTTTTATTTATCATTTATTTTTTATTTTATTTAAATTTTTTTATTTAAACAAACTTTTTTTATGCTACAGGTATCAAATACATGTTTTTTCTATATAAAAAAATCTATTTTCTATTGTGCATTATGCATTATTTTTTATTTTTTATTATTATTATTTTGTAAATAAAACAACATAAAATCTAACAAATTAATAATATAATATACCACATTAGTTGTCAGACTCAAATTATATATTTTTATTTATAATTTATTTTTTATTTTATTTTATTTTTTTATTTAAACAAACTTTTTTATGCTACAGGTATCAAATACATGTTTTTTTCTATATAACAAATCTATTTTCTATTGTGCATTATGCATTATTTTTAAATACATTTTTATTATTATTATTTTGTAAATAAAACAGCATAAAATCTAACAACTTATTAACATATATCATATTACTTGTCAGACTTAATAAATGATATATATTTTTATATATTATATATTTTTATAATTTTTTCTTTTATTCTTTTAATTATTTACTTTTTTTATTATTTTTTTAATGTAACAGTTCTCCATATTTTCTATTGTGCATTATGCATTATTTTAAATATATATATTTTAATATATATAATATATATAAATAACAAAAATCTCTGTTTAATAAAATAATTTCTGATATTGGTTGTCTGATTTAATAAATTAATTATTGACTACTAATATTGACAACAAAAAAATCCAGTTTGTCTTTCAATGATTGAGGAGTGGTGTCCTTTATAATTTTGACACTCATTTGTCTCAACAGGCTTTTAATACGTTTATCGATGACGTTTTTGCATTCATCATCACGATGCCCACGTCACATCGGTTAGCGTGTTTCAGAGATGACGTGGTGTTCCTCGTGTACCTCTATCAGAGATGGTGAGGAGCCACAGTCAAACACTGATCCAGAGCTGGTGTTTAAACTCGTATGGGTGTTTTATGAGATGTTGATGTGGTTTCAGGCTCTATCCAGTGGACAAAACCAGAGTGAACGAGTACGGCGTGTCTTACGATGAAAAGCCCAAAGGAAAATCCCATAAAGATTGACATCGTCACAACAGAACAGCTCAGCATTATCTTAAGATCAGTCATCGGATTCAATAACAAAAGACCAAACCACATTTGGCTATCTGGGCTCAGTTGTGCTCCGCTAATCAGAGAAATGTAACCGGCTCGACTGAGACACGCGCGTGTGCAGCGTCCGGCAGTGCAAACGGTTGCTGTATCTCGTTGAATTATAGGATGAGAAGTAAAATATGAAAAGCTTGGTTTAATTTTACAGAATGTATTTTGATGGGACCTTTAATGCAGTCTCAAATAGTGTTTTGAAATTAAGACCATATCACAAGGGTGCCAAAAGACCAGAGTTTCAGATTAATTATCAGATTTGCTTTGAATATGGATTAATTTTAGTAACGTGACTGTTGGTTGTGTGTTCAGCGAGAATGATGTACGTTTGTTTTTGTGTTTCATTCCATTAAAAGTGTTTCTGCTTAATCACAGAGACTTCATTAAACAGTTTATGCCTTCTGCTGCCTTCATTTCTTTATGTAGCTTTTATGCTTTTCAATCGTTGATTTTTGACAGCATTAAATGAACAACTGTCGCCTACTAAACAATCAGTGGTATTTATAAAAAATAAGTTTATTTATGAAAGATACATGTGCATAAAACAAACTAAAAAGTACTGTGGTATTAACATGTTTTTTTTGTTTTTTTAATGGTATACTTTGAAGTACCATCTAAATATCGTGATAAAAAATATAGTAATTTTATTGTACCGTAGTATTAACATCTAATGAAATCGCTGAAGCTGACAGGTTTTTTAAGTATTAAAAACGAATTTTTCTTGAATTCATTCATATATTATTTTTCTGTTGTATATAAAATACAACAGAAACTATTTGTTTATTTGTAATATTTTATTGTATTGTTTTAAATACTTTTTAAAACAAAACTTGATTGTTTCACTTATGGTTACAGTTTTTATAGCATGGTTTTTACATGTGGTACCATGGTATTCTTCCAGGAGTAACCTCATATGGTACCACCACGTGTTTTCTTTTTGAAAGTACTGTGGTATTAGCATCTAATGTATAATGACTGTATAATTGTACATTGTTAGCAAAGCATCCATGCACTGATGTTAATTGTCTCTGGTTGTGTTTTGCAGGACGACAAACTGAACGCTCTGATCAAGGCCGCCGGTGTGACCATCGAGCCCTTCTGGCCCGGTCTCTTCGCTAAGGTGCGTTTATTTCCACCTGACGCTTCCATGAGGGTGATGGAAATGCCTGCATGTCATTTATCCAGTTAAATGTGAACATTAAGGAGTCAGTTGTGCTTAAACGTTCATGTCATAGTGCATCTTAAGCTTTAAGTGCTGAGTGTATAAGCGTGTTGAGTCTGATGTCATTTCCTGTGTTCAGGCTCTGGCCAGCGTTGACATCGGCAGTCTGATCTGTAACGTTGGAGCCGGTGGTGGAGCTGCTCCGGCTGCTGCTGCTGGTGGTGCTGCTGCTGCTGCTCCTGCAGGTGGAGATGCACCCGGTGAGCTCACGCTCTCATTCAGATGCATCCACGTGCGTTTGATTTATTCACTGAGATTCGTAGCTCTGAACTCCACTTCTGTTTTCATTACAGCCAAGGAGGAAGAGAAGAAAGAGGAGAAGAAAGAAGAGTCCGAGGAGTCTGATGACGACATGGGCTTCGGTCTGTTCGACTAAAGCAGCTCTTTTAATAAAAAACATTGAAACTGTCAATGCTGTTTGTGTTGGTTTAGTTAACCAAAGTATCCACTATTCAAAGCATTTTTAGTTTCACATTTTTCCTGAAACCTAATATAATGCTAATATGATTAACTTCTGTTTTAATATAAAATTAAGGCTTATTTTTTTGGGTAACACTTTACAATACGGTTTCATTTGTTAACATTTCATAACCTTAGATAATATGAACTAATAAAAATACTCAAGCATTTATTAATGTTGACGTCGGCATTTAGTGCTAAACAAATCACAATTCTGAAAACAAAATAAATTACAGACGCAAATGCAAGTCTAAAAAACAAAATGACAATTCAGAAAACATAAGTCAGAAAACACAAGGACAAATCAGAAAACGTATAGACACCCCGTATTTTTTATTCCATAGTAAAGGCAATTCATACAATACATTTAAACTGAGCTACTTTAATACCATCTCCGAACTTTCTACCACGGCTCTGCTGTTCTTCGGCTGGTTCTTCCCTGTATACGTTGATTGACAGATGTCTCGTCCAGTCAGCGGTGAGTAATCCCAAACCAATGGCGCGGTCTCAAACTATACCTACCTCTTCCGGTTTGTCTTGTTTTCTGACTTATGTTTTCTGAATTGTTGTGTTTTCTAAATTGTTATTTTGTTTTTTAGACTTGCATTTGCGTTTGTTATTTTGTTTTCAGAATTGTGATTTGTTTAGCACTTCTCGGCCACCGTAATTTACTAATACACTACTCAAAAGTTGAATGTTAGTATTTAATGGATCTGGAGAAAAACTAAATGTTGACATGAGTTAATAAAAATACTGCTGTTCAAAGATGAAGACTAATACATAGTGCATTAATGTTAATGCATTTATAAATATTGTGAAGTGTTACTATCTCATGCAATACATAATACTTTCTTGCATGTGAAACTTCAGGTTCTAAAGAACCATTCACCTTAAAAAGAGAAAATACATATTTCTTTTGTATATGTAGTTTATAAGGAAAAAAACTAAGCTTACGTTAGCCAGAAGTCTACAAGTCTTTACAGCAAAAAAAAAAAAAAAGTGTCAATGTTAAAAAAATTAAAAAGAAAACATTTACTCATTTATGTTATGGTCGTTCTACTTTTCAAAAGACTGGTGAGAAATCAAGAGACTACTTACAATTTTGTTCAACATGTCCTTATATAACGCGTACCATTTTTCTTACACAATGCAAAGGAATTATATTTATAAAAAATATATAAATAAAAAATAAAATAATTAAAGATCTAGTTTATAAAATATATACATAAAAAAAAAATTACAATTTTTTGTTGCCAAGAAAATATGAAATTTTTTGAAAACCCATGATTTAGCCAAAGCTTTTATCCAAAGCATGTTCAGTTTAATCATGATTTTGACGACTGTTTCAAAAATCATTGTCATTTCAGAGCATGACTAGAATTTTTTTCTCAACAATTATTGACTAAAATAAATACTAAATTGAATAATTAAAACTCCTCAACTCTATCATGACCTTTTATTTCTAACCCAAAAAAAATGAAAGTCAAAAGGTCTAATAGCAGTCCAGCAGAAATAAGCCCAGGACACCTTCAGCTAAAGATAATAGCATTTTATTAGTTAAAAGATCTGTACAGTTGCTTCTTCCTGAGAATAATTTATATTAATGACAAAATGGATTTCACGATTGTTCTGTACACAAAAGTAATTCTAGTCCAAACTCAAACGGGTTACATCAACCCTAGTGTGGTAAAAAATAACAGAATTAAGTCTTTTAAAATGAATTCAGAAGGCAGCTTTGATTATAACAATTTACCAATATGTGCTTCAAGTGACTGATATGTGACTATATTGGCTTCGGAGTCCAGCGTGATATGATGCTCAGTTTCATACAATCGCTGAGTCCTTTTAAAAATCTGTTAAATATCACTGTGGTTTGGCTTTGTGAGTCTGTACATGAGAGCGTATGCTCGTGTCTCGGCGAGTTTCTCAGGATGTTAAAGCACCTTGATCACTTTGAGATCAACATATCGACGATATAAAATCACGTGATGCCGATAAGCCTTTGGATCACTGGAAAACCATCATTGGAGTTCATTGGGTTCCAGTTGCAGATTCTCCAGCGCTGAAAAAAGTTCATTTCTGGATACAAAATAAAACATGGTGCTGCTAAACGGTTATAAATCAATATGTCTGCGATATCCTCTCCGCTCCACCAAATCCTCAAGAATCTCTATTATAAAAGGTTTATGCGTGTAGCGTCTGCTCGGTTGAAGGTGTCCTCCGTGATGATCCAGCATCAGGAGGAATCAGTGCATCTTCAGCCGCGCCTGGTCGATGACGTCCAGCAGGTTCTTGGCGTCGACGGCGAGCGCGTGAGCCGCGGTCAGCATCTGCTTCTTGTAGTCCTGCTGCAGGCTGGTCAAGACGTACTGCTGCGCCAGACGCATCTTACTGATGAGCTCCGCCAGGTCCGAGTTCAGCAGCTTCTGAGCCATCTCGATCTGACACAAACACAGCACAC